GGGGGGGTGGGCACAGCCACACATGGGCTCCGTGAGGAGCTTTGTGTGGGGGGCTTTGGGGTGCTGGAAGGCATGTCCCCATCCTGCCAAGCTGGGCACAGGGGGATTCCTGTGCCTGCCCATCCCTGTCCCCCATCCCAGCTCCCTCCATCCTGCTGCTTGGCTGGTGGTGCCTCCCGGGGGCTCTGTGTGCTCCTCACACACTTCCTGCCGTCTGTTTCCAATTCCTCTTGGCGTTTGCTCCTCCCTGCTTTCTTCCAATTAAAAAAAAAATCCCAGGCATCTTGTCGGCGTGCAGCTCCCAGAGGCTCGAGCACTGCTGTGCCCCACTCCAGCAGGCTGGGGCTGCACAGGGAGGGGATGGTGGGTGCCCCACATCCCTCTTTGTCCCCATTTGCATGGGGCACAGCACTGGGGACTGTCCTGTGACACCCCAGTGCCCAGGCCTTTCTCCTGCAGTCTTTCCTGCATGTTTCCTCCATGGATGGGGTCTGGAACCCTCTCATCTGGGGTGCTCAGGGATGTCTGGAGACCTGTCCTCCGGGGAGCCATGTGCTGCATGGAGGCTATTCCCAGGAGAACAGAGCAGCTGGGGGGGCATGGAGTCAGATTTTGCAGCCTGGCTGGGTGCGGGCTGGCGTTGGCAGGGCTGTGTCCTCAAAGCCTGACTGTGTCCTTCCCTTCTGTCCCCTAGGAGTGACCTGTGAGCGACGCCGGCGGCAGCAGGAGGTGTGAGCGCCCGTTGGGACACACGGCTCTGTCTCGGTGCCAGCCCCCCCCCTCGCCGCAGCCATGCCCATCCTCAAGCAGCTCGTCTCCAACTCTGCCCACTCCAAGCGGCGCTCGCGGGCCGACCTGACGGCCGAGATGATCAGCGCTCCGCTGGGGGATTTCCGCCACACCATGCACGTGGGGCGCGCGGGCGACGCCTTCGGGGACACCTCCTTCCTCACCAGCAAGGCCGGGGAGCTGGGCCCGGAGGTGGGTGAGGAGCTGGGCACCTCCAAACCCAGCCTGCTCTCCCGCCGCTTCCGCAGCAGCAAGCGCTCACAGTCGGTGACGCGAGGTGACCGGCGGGACATGCTGGGGTCGCTGCGGGACTCGGCCCTCTTCGTGAAGAACGCCGTGTCCCTGCCCCAGCTCAACGAGAAGGAGGTGGACAGGAGCGCGGGGCAGCTGCCCAAGAGCCTCTCCTCCAGCCCTGTCAAGAAGCTGCCCGAGGAGGAGAGCTCTGAAGAGCAGCAGCGCGCAAACGGGGCGACCGCGGGGCCGCTGAGCCCCGGCTTGGACGAGCGCGACTTTGGGGACATCACGGAGCTGCCCGTCGTGGTGGCCAAGAGCGGGACGGGCATGAAGCACGCCGAGTCCATCATGTCCTTCCACATCGATCTGGGGCCCTCCATGCTCGGGGACGTCCTCAGCATCATGGATAAGGAGCAGTGGGAGCAGGATGAAGACCCTGAGGAGGAGGAGAGCCACGAGGAGGAGGCAGATGCCACCGTGCCCAGCTCCCCAGTGGCTGCAGCAGCCCTGCAGAGCCAGAGCCCGTCCCGTGGCATCAGTGGCCGCTACCCCAGGGACAGCAGTTTGGCATCCAGCTCCGTCCCTGGGCCACCGAGCCAGCGGGGGGGCCCCCTGAAACGTCCTGACAAAGAGTTCTCGTTCGCCGACGAGGACGACGACGAGATCAGAGTATAAAAGGCGGCGGCCGAGGCAAGGAGTCTGGTTCTCATTTGCAGTTGCTTGGACACGGGGCCGAATATCCCGGTGCTGCAACGGGTGGCACCAGGGAGGACTCAACTCCTCGCTCGTTCCCTCTCCCTGTCCCTCAGTGGATGTGCCGTGGCAGGACAGTGCTCTGCTCCCGGGGTGGGGACAGCCCCACAGCCTCTCGGCACCCAGGGAGCTCCAGCACACCCCGGGAGGGGAAAGCAGACTTGATTTTGGTTCTTTCTGTTGGACTTTGGATATTAGCTCTTTTCCCCTCTGCCTGTGTAAAGCAATATAGGATCAAACGAGACGAGGCTTTGAGGTTTTAGCCCCTTTAGTAATATATATATATATTTTTTTTCCCGCCGTATGGTTTTTACTGCTCTCTGATTTGTACTTAACTTTCTTTACTCTCACTTTTGATGTTAATGGAGGAAAGATTTCCCATGAGGAAGGACTTGGCTCTGGAGCTCAGATGGGGCCCCTGGGACTGTGAGCAGCTCCAGCTCCCCAGCTTTCTTAGGGACCTTCTGCAGACTGAGAGCCCCCAGCCCCGTGCTGCGGCAGGGGGTCACTCCATCCCTCGGATGGATGGATCCAACCTAGATGCCAACACTCTAATATAGCCTGGGTATCTCTGGGGGAGCTCCTGGGGATGCTGATGGCAGTGTGGCTTTGTGCCCCATGGCAGGGACACCTGGGCCCCCCATGAGCCAGGGTGAGCCCTGGTGTCCCCGGGCAGCCCTGTGGCAGGGCTGGCCTGGCAGGGCCATGCGGGCGGGTGGAAGAGGAGGGTTTTATACCATGTATGTACAAATGCAAAGAATAAAAGGAAACAGTAGTGACAGCAGTGGCCTCATTCCTGGGGGATGAGACGTGTGGGGACGTGGGTGTTTGCACAGGTGGGGACCAGCTTTCTCTGTGCTGCCCCTGTCCCCAGACCCTGTCCTG